GATGCCAATTGTTTGTGACTACAGATGTGTAGTTATCTCTAAGATTAATTGCCAAGGAATATTTTCAGTAACCATGCTAGTGGTTCTGACAAACAACATTGGTAAAAGTAAATTTGCTACCTAAATAAACATATCCAGCTATATTTCAGAAGGAGTAAAGGTCATGTCATATTGACAGAAAATCTTTGTAGATACTAAGACTAAACCGGGCAAAGAGAGCTAAACGCCAACCACACAGTTTGAACTGTGAATAACATTTGTGTGTTTGAAATCAACATAGGAAGTCTTGAGATACAAGATTTGCGGGACAAAAATCAGTGAGAAAAAAATTATACTCCTAGCCAACGAGAACGTGCATTATCAACAACAAAAACAATTAGAACAACAGATAAATGAACAAAAAACCCAAAAGGCATTCTCAAAGTGTATTCCTTTGCCAGTTAGAAGTTGCAGGCATGTGTTTTGAATTTTCTATTGCTTTATTTGTAGAAAGATTTGGAAGCAGGATTATTTTATTGAAATAGAATGCCAGATTGAGAAAAGCCCATTTCAAAAGGGAATCGTTATTTGGAAGGAAGGGCTTCATCCAGTTAGTGTTTGGGTCGCCAGATCTGGACGGTGAGTAACGGACATCCTGAATATAACTGGAGAATTCTGGACAACTCAGCAATTCAGCCAGGTCACTAGGGTGCAAATGTCAAGGGCCAGTGGGGCAAGGATTCAAGGACTCAAGGGCTCCTGGAGCTCTGAGTTACTGCGTTTCCCAGGAGGCCTACGATGACCCCAGTGCATACGTGATCCAGACCCTGAAGCATTTGCTCCTGGGTGGGGAAATACTGCAAATGCAAACTTGACAATAAGTTTTCCTTTCTGAATCACGAAAAGCTAATTCAAACCAACCACTGTAACAAAGCATTGAAATGTTCTCAATGGTATATCTGGCTGGCCAGGGGCCTGGCTGAGGAAGTCACCTCCGCTCCCACGACTGCGTTTGTCCGGGATCCATGCCTCCCGGGAGGATATTGTGATGGCTTCACATCCGCACTCCCCTCCAGATCCAGGCAGGAGTGCGCAGGGACTGTGGGAAGTGTGTCACTCTGGCAGAGTCGGGGCTCTTGAGTCAGCATCTTACACAGAGCAGGACGTCAACAAATACTTGACAAATGAGAGAATGGTGTGGCAGATGAGGATCTCTGCTCTCCAAGTCACAGCCCAAGCTCTACACATACAGAACTACCGGAACTTGCCCTGGTTGGCCCCACTGTCCCTGTGTGCCCTGAGCTGTGCTATTCTGTATACCGGAAATATCCCTCTTCTTCCACCCCTGGCAAACCACGATTCCACAGCAACCTTGTCTTCAAAGCCTCTGAGCTGGCTGCTTTCCTCCACCCCAACATATCTGGCCTAGACCCTCTTATAGCCCGTTTTACAGACCCCAAGGATTTGAGTATCTTGCTCACTAGTCTAAGCTTCCTGGGAGTGCAGCTTCGTCTTATTTATAGAGTTTAGATTTACTAGGAGATCTGCATCTAACATAGAACCACATATATTACATGGAATAGATCATAGGCTACGTTAGAGGACAACAGACCCTTGGCGTAGGTAGATCACTATCCTCATTTTACAGATGAGGCACAACAAGGTTGAGCAATTTGCAGAAGGTCCCCTGCTAGTAAGTGGTCTGTTCAATGCTTGTGGCTCTCCCAAAACGCCCACATCCTTATCTAAAACCTATGCACATGTTATCTGACATGGCAAAAGGGACTTCGAAGATGTGATTACTTTTAGGATCTTGAGGTGGGAAGATCACCCTGGACAATCTGAGTAAGCCTGATAGAATCACAGGGGCCCTCATGAGAGGAAGGCAGGAGAGTCAGTGTCAGAGAAAGGGATATGACTATAGAAGCAGAAGTCAGAGAGAGACAGAGATTTGCAGATGCTGTGCTGTTGGCCTTGAAGATGGAGGAAGGGGCCATGAGCCAAGAAATGCAAGTGGCCTCTAAAAGTTGGGAAAGGCAAGGAAACGGATGCTCCCCAGAGCCTCCCAAAGTAATGCTGCCTTGCCAGTTATCTTAATTTCGGGATTTCTGACCTCTAGAACGGTAAGATGAAGCATTTGTAAGCCATTAAGTTTGTGCTAATTTGTTAGAGCAGCCATGGGAAACTCACACAGGGCCTGTAAACTGGAAACCAGGTGGAAACACTGACAAGGGGAGGAAGGAGCACACTGCACTCCCGAAGGAGGTGGTCAAAGGCCCATTCTAAGAGCTCCCTGGCATCAAGGGCTTTCCCTGCTCTCTGCTCTCCTGACGAAGTCTGTATAATGATCTGAAGAACTGAGAAGCGGTGGGCAGGACTGACCAAAACCCAGAAAGTCACAAGTCCAAGGTGGCTCCCCAAGCCTGGTCTCTGTGTTATGGCTTCCAGGAACACTGAGCCATCTCCTCAAAGGTAAAGCCTCTTCACCAAAACACGTTTGTTACCAATAGTCCTGACGCCATGGATGTTCCATGCTGTGTGCGGTGGCCACACCCACCACCATCCCCAGCAAAGGCCTCCTAGTTACCAGGGAGAGTGGATGGGAGAGAGCAGAGCTAAGCCAGGAGCTCCCAGGGAAGCCCCCTCCTTAGGAAGAGGATGTGGCTACCCGGGTACTCAGACCTCCAGCCTTCCCCTCCATTGTAGGGATGATGAGAGCCCACGCAGGTGACTTCCTATTGCTCTTGCTTTTGAAAAGCTCAGTCTGTGGGTCAGGTTGTCAGTGTGCCTGCCTGTCTGGTTCTCTCTCTGGTCAGGCAGCTGACCAGTCTGTGGGTCAGGTTGTCAGTCTGTCTGCCTGTCTGGTTCTCTCTCTGGTCAGGCAGCTGCAGAAGGACTAGTTTGATGAGATAATAAATACCAGCCTCGGTCACCATGAATCAGAGGCACACAGCCAGCTGAGTCACACACTGGGGGTGGCTCAGACAGCACTGTCAAGTTCCATCTGACCTCACTCTGGAAACGGGGCCAGCTGTTCGAAAATGGCAGGGCATTAAGGAACATATTTCACTCCCAAAGCTCCAAGTGCTGTGTGTGCTCTGGCCACAAAATGCTTTTTGGAAAGGAACTTCATCACGGCCCTTGTAACTCAAGAAAAGGAGACTGCTGATTCTGGAGAAAGGCTGGGAAGGGGATGGCACTAGGGATGCATGAAGCCATGAAGATCTGGCCTGCAGCAGTAGCCGCAGTCCCAAAGTGACCTCACTTGGCTAAATGGTGCCTGAAGTCACTAAACCATGTCAAGCTGAAACACCATTCAATGTGTATAGCGAGTCCTGGCTTAGTTCTTGTCATTGCAACAGGGTGTCCCCTACTGCTCCTGCCCCCTGCTTTGCCTAGGGGGCCCCAAGGCCCAGCAGGCAATGATGCCAGGACTGAGGGCTGCTCAGGGTCCAAGGATGAAGCGCTAAGGGTCCAGGAACTGCAGGCCCCCCCATCCCACCTGCCCGCAGGCATCCTTGAGTGCTGAGGAGCGTCGGAACAACTCCTCAGAGGCCAAGCTACAGAGGCCTCTGCTCATCCATCCTTGCTACCAGGCTGCCCTTTCTTCTGCCTTAGAAAGCTCCAAGTACGGAGGGCATTGCTGGTTGGCAGGGGACATGGGCCTCCCAGCAGGACCCAGCTCCAGGGGACATCCATCTTGTTTTCCATGCCTGGTCGTGGCTTTCACATTCCATTGAAAACCCAAGCTTCAAGGTTTAGTTGTCATTTTCTGTTCCACTTTACTTCCCTCGTCACTCCTAACACCAAAGCCTCACAACAAAAGTCTGACAAAGGTCCTATCAGGTTTCCCTCTCCCTAGAGATCCTGCCTGATTCTGCTTGGCTTTCAGCCTGGGCCTGGCCGACCACAGCGGTCTTGCCAGAGCTGGGGTCTCTGGCCATGGCTGAGGTCATTTCTGCAGCCAGCGGGAGGAGGGAGTGACAAAGCACTCAGCCACGTTACAATAAGGGAAAGAGAACTGCAGGACAGGGTGGGGCCTGTATTTGTGGATTTCATGGTTGGACTCCTGGGAGCTGGACACAGGTATTGAATCTCAAATGGTTCTGGGGTGACAGGGCCTTGGAGTCCAGGGCTGCCCAATGAGGCCTTGGATCTGACCCCAGAAGGTGGGGCATGGAGGAGAGAGACGCAGGGGATGAATTCTTCCCCCTTTTGCATCTGAGCTTCTGCTTCATTTTGGAGCTTTGATAGAGCTTTAGAGCAAGACCTCCCTCTTTGGGGTGACTGTGCATTGTGGGAATATCACATGGGCATTGGGTCACAGTGACCCAGGTTCAAATCCTAGCCTGGAGACCTGGGGAAACTGACATTTGGTCTCAGAGTTTGAGCATCATCTTCTGTAAAACTTCATAGTCCCCACCTCAGGGGCTTGTTGGAGGGTCAGAAGAGACAAACTGTGCCAAGTGCCCAGCCTGAACTGGTGGCACGGTGAACTGATGGCCTCTTGTTTGACTCAACCACCCACTTTCCCATTTGAGAGCCACTCATTGCTGTTCCCAGGCCTTCCAATTACCGACACACTCACGCTTCAAGTGGAGCTCTGGGCCCCTCACTTGGTTGGAGTCCTCTTTTGAGTACAAAGGGGCATTACTAAAATCTCAGTGGTGGTGGGAAAGTTCTGTCTGTCTGTCCAACTACGTGCTATGCTATCTGAGGGCAGGAGTCATGGCGGATTCATCCCTGCCATCCCCTGGGGCACACAGTAGCTGATCCTGCATCTCCTGTCGGACTGCATTGAGCTTCTGAAGGCCAGGCTCCACACAGCGCCCATTTCTGCGCCCCCCATGCCCAGTGTGGCCCCAGCCCCTCCCTGGGAATCAATCACTCCCGACTGAACACACTGGATGCTGTGTGGACAGCGCCCGCCTGGAGCGGAGGCTCGCCAGAACAGAGCACACGCCCCCAATCCCAGGTCTGCCAGCGCCTCTCCTGAGGCCAAGCTTGTGGCGGCCACGTACCTGGTCCCCAGAGCGTGACACACTGCTGCTCATGAGTCTGGCAGATGCCATTGTAGCAGTAGCCGTCCACACCCTGACATGGGTGCCCGTCGTGCAGGTACACGTTGGCTGGGCAGTGAGGGCTGGCCCCTGTGCAGAACTCCGGGAGGTCACAGGAGTTGCTGGAGTCCCTGCATGCCGTCCCTGCAGGCTTCAGCTGGAAGGAGAGGGCCATTGATGGCACATGCACCCGGGGAAAGGGAGGGGCAGCTCTCAGCAGCTCTCCTGGGCTGGAGCAGACAAGGGCATCTTAAAGTCCCACATAAAGGGGTGAGGATTTCAAAGGAAGTCGCTTCTAATGTAGAGAGAGCTCATTAAATCATCAGATTCTCACTCTGGGGTTCACTGTTCCACTATAAAGTGGGTGGGACAACCAAGAGCAGTCTCTCTTTCATGTCATGCAACATCAGGGCTCTCCGAGGAACACGCAAGCTGGCTGCTGGCACTTGGCACCTCAGAGGAGGAAGAAGGAGGGGAGCGTTGGCTGCTGGGCTGGTTGATTCTTAAGGAAAAGGTCTCTGGGTGTCAACATCATCACACATTTCAAGGGGACATTTGCATTTATAGTGTTAGCATTTGTAGGCAAGTTAATAAAAATGACTTTAAGGGCAGAATCACAATAGCAATTTTACTTTGTCATCAAATCGTACAACTGGAACTCTCTCTTTACTGCTTTATGGGAAGAACAGGAGAAGAACAAGGGAGAGGTAAAGGATGTTAGAAGCCATCTGACCATGGTGGCTCATGCCTGTAATCCCAGCACTTTGGGAGGCCGAGGCAGGCAGATCACGAGGTCAGGAGATCGAGACCATCCTGGCTAACATGGTGAAACCCCATCTCTACTAAAGATACAAAAAATTAGCCGGGCGTGGTGGCGGGCACCTGTAGTCCCAGCTACACAGGAGGCTGAGGCAGGAGAATGGCGTGAACCTGGGAGGCGGAGCTTGCAATGAGCCGAGATCACACCACTGCACTCCAGCCTGGGCAACAGAGCGAGAGTCCGTCTCAAAGAAAAAAAAAAGAAAAGAAAAAAAAGAAGCCATCTGACCAATGACTCAGCTTTTTGTGGTTGAAGAAATTAAGACTCAGAGTAGCCTGTCTGAGACTACACGGCTAGGGACTGCTGCAAGTCCTGGGCTTAGTTCCCTGCATACTCCTCAAACGCAAAGGGATAAGGCCCCTGCTAACTTCTAGAAGATCTGGAAGTTGAAAGCAATTGTTAAAAAGCCATAACCTAAAAGTGAACCACAATCAGGCATGGCCTTGTGGTCCTCCCTCCCCTAACTTGGGCATGCTCTGGGCACAGGCTCAGACTTGCTTTCCCCCTTCCCCCAACTCCCTTCCAGGCACCTTCCTCCACCAGTTACTGGGGGCCAGGGAGAGACAGCTGCTTATAACATCCCCCAGAAGTTAATCAGCATTAGGAAGAGGATGAAGGCTATTTTAAAGCCGAACATTAAATGTTACAATGCACTTCTAAATCACCGCGCTCACGTGGAGCAGCTAAGAGGGAGTTTCCTGTAAGCGGAATGTCGGGATCCATTGCTTAATTAAAACAAAATAAAACTCTACCCTTGGAACTGCTGAATCAAAAGTTCAGGCTTCTACTCTGTCAGATATCAGCTTTGAATAATGAGACAATGGAACTGCCAAAAGAAACGCAGTCCTAGCTAGCAGCAATGGCGAGAGCATAAAACTGCCATTCTTGGCTGGGCAGGGTCGGTGGCACCTTCTTTTGGGAGGATGTTAAGATTGAGTTGTTTATACAAAACTTCTGGGACAACCCAGCAGGAAGGTGTTCGCGGGATGGAGGAGAAGGTGGACCTGGGGGAACCTGAGCCACAGTGGTGGGGACTTGTTTTCGCCTTGCTCTTCTTGTCAGCACAGTAGGACCGCATGTGCCTCTGACGGCACAAATGGAACATTTAAAGTTGAACTAGAGTTTACCGGTCTGATGAATTGTCAGCCACTAAATAAATAAACACAAGTGAGTGGCAATTAAAGCGTGCATTTCACCCCAAGATTGGAAGATACACAATAAGAGGTGGGTAACACCAACTGGCGTGAGAAGGCGGGATGGTGCGTGCTGTGGTGAGTGCTGGGAAACCTTCCAGCCGCACTGCTTGCCCTGCATCACATCTGAACCACCTGAACCTGCTGGCGACCTGGGGGTCAAGTTGCAGCTCCAGTGACTCACCTGACAGTCTTCACAGCACAGCCCGTGTGCGCACACAGCATCTGGCTTCAGGGTACAGGTGGTGGCATTGCAGCAGCGATTCATACATTCCTGGAGAGGGGAATGGGATTTGTTTGACAGGGTCTTAGGAAGTATGCACTCACTGAATGCAAACATCACACCTCAAATGACTGTGAAAAGCAAGAAAGACTCAGAGGGCCCAGCTCCTGAACTGCACACCTGCCTGTTTCTGTCTGTTAGGAAAGCAAAGCTTCTGCTGTTTATGAACCCACTGGGTCTACAAGTCCCTGGAAAAAGCCAGTAGCACACAAGTGCCCTCATGAAAGGTAAAGCAGTTGTGACATAGGCTGGCCGGCCGGGGACATCACTCTAGTCAGCAGTAGCACACTGGGGCTCTGTAGAGGGGTGTCCAGGCGGATCTCATTGCAATGAACTGCATCAGGATCCCTCGAGGACTTTGAAATTACCTAATCAAAAATATACATAGATGCATACAATCTGTACTCTTCAAAAATGAACCCTTTTTGATCTAGAGAGTACTGGCAGGAAATGAAGTCAAACCAGTGGTTTCAACCACAATTCCCTGCAATCCCACCAGGGTCGTGGAGGAGACCCTTGAGCAGCCCAGGTAAGTTGTCTGGCCTGAGGATTCCATCACTCGGAAGGTCAGAAATGGACATTAGGACATTATAACAACCCACTGCCTGGAAGGCCATGCCCATTGATTTGCAAGGGACTTAAATGGATAGATCAAGCATTAGATGCATTGTCCTCTCTGAAACAAAAGTGAGAAAAGAAACTAACTCCTTTATAATGCTGTGCTCCACAAGTACCCATTGTTTCCATTTTTTTCCTAACAAAAACAAGAGATTGACATTTTTTGCTTAGCTCTCAACAAAAGGCCTGCACACATTTATCAAGTGAAGTCCTTGTACTTGAGAACATTCGAGTAACCTAGAGTTTACACATTTTAGAAGAAATGTAATTATCATAAGATGGAACAGTTCATAGATCTTTAATACTGAGTAATTTATCACTGTTCTTTTATTTTATCCAATATATGATATGCTCTGAAAAATTTCTATACTAATGGCTGGGGTGAAGCTAATCACATACTAGTTTAATAGTATAATACTTTACTCCTGAAAACCATCTTTCTTGAATGGATTTATCATGAGTTTTATAAATGCAATTAATACAATTTTGTCAATAATCCAGAAGATTTACGGCAAACCTAGACACTGAAACTATATCCCATGTAAAACTCCGTGAATTATGCTCTCATTTGATGTTCCATTTGCTTCTATTATACAGACTTACAAAGTTATTAAATGTTAAATTTGCTTGAGGACTTTATAAACATCCAGAATGTATAAAATATACAATAAGATAAAACTGTCAACCAGAAGTCATAGCTGTAACTTTTATGACAGTAAGGGTTTCGAACCTGTGGACTTATAATTCTAAAAGAGTTTAGGAACTTTTTTAAAAAAAGTAATCCATTAATTGCATTTTTAAATCAGAGTGCACACCAATGCTATCCTGGGCCTTATGGTCTAAATGGCTCTACGAATGACACATTTACCAAATTACAAGTTTTCTTGAAATTCCATGTTAAATCAGCCATCCTAAATCTGGGTCCTAAAATTCTTTAAGAAATATCTTCCCCCCTCTCTCAAATCACCCAATAATATAAGCAGCAGCTCACATGGAAATGCAGCCAAGCCAAATGGCTCTGACTTCAAAGGGGATGATAATGTGAGAAAGATAACTAAGTTTAAAAGATATTCACAAGCTACTGGCATCCTACTGACTTTAAACAAGGAGATAAGGCTGCTTTCCCAATCCTGTTAGCTGGAAGAATGAGTGAGTTGTCAGGATTTCCTTATGTTGATATAAATCCAATGCCCTGTCCTGGAAGGCTTCAGCAATCAACCTGTCTTTAAACCACCCAGGATCTATTTCTTCTGCAGTACCATATTTCTCAGAAGAGACACATTCTTCATCTGCCGCTACATTTATTATTTTAGTCCTCAATAGAGAAGTCCAACAGAGCCAATGAATACCAAGTCTCCAAAGAAGACAGAATAATGAAAGCATTAGAGAATTCTCTGCAAAGCCCTAATTGTCATTCTCAGGTTGTAGGTAGCAGACAGATTCTTAATCACAATGAACTGGGAGAAGACTAGAAGCCATCTTCTTGTAAATAATGGAGATTATTTCTGGGAGCAAGGGAGAAGCTGGTTTCCGTTGGGTGATGGCAGAGGTTTTTCGGATCCCGTCCACTCCTTCCTTGATGTGGTAACACACTGGGTCCCTCTGTGGGCCAGGGAATGGCCAGGTCAATCTGATGCAAGGGGATGCAGAATAACTCCAGGGCCTGAGCACTGGGTAGTGGGATAAAGAACCTAGGTTAACAAGTCTTTTTGCCTAAAATTCTTAGGCAAAGCAGTTTGGAAACTGTAAATGGGTTGTCACACTGCCAAACACAATTTGAGTTTGAACCTTGAAACTATTATTTTCAAATAATAACTACTTGAAACTATTTTTTGAAAAGCAAAAAAATAATAATAATAATAATAAAAAGCAAATCTAAAAAGTGAGGCCAAAGGCTCACCTGTAACTTTCAAAGAGAGAACTTTGGATGAGGGGAATGAGGGCTATCTTCAAATATCAAGAAGTTATCCTATAAAATAAGGACCTTAGCCACAGAAATACAAACTTGGTAACTGCATGCAAGCGGAGCTTGGCTCCCTAAGGAGGGAGTTTGTAATAATCAAAGCTACCCTGCAATGCAACATGCCACCTGGAGGGGCAGCACCCTGTTGAGCCGCATGACTCCTTCATGGAGAAAAGAGAGAGGATCAGAATATGAGTGGCTGGCACATTTTAGGCACTCAAGCATTTGCCGATGTGATGGTGGTGGTGGGGATAACGATAGGGGTGGGGATGGTAGCAGTGATGCTGGTAGTGATGTGGATCTGGTGTGGCCGTGGTGGTGGCCGTAGCTGTGGAGATGGCAGTGGTTATAATAGTGGGGTGATGGTGAGGGCGGTAGTGATGATGGTGGCAGTACTGGCAGTGATATGGTGATGATGGTCATGAGAGAAATGGTGATGCTGTTGGGTGGAGGAGGTGGTGGTGGTGATTGTGGAGATGGTAATGTTAGCAATAGTGGTCGTGATTGTGGCAGTGGTGTGGCTGCTGCTGGTGGCATATGGAGTAAAATGACTGCTAACAAAATCATTCCAAACCCAAGAGTTCATAGCTTCATGAAGAGCTGTCAAATTTATTTAGATGAACAAACAATCATAAGAAGTTCAAATCAAAGACAAACCATTTTAAGCCAACATGGTCTCTCCTGAGAAATATGAGTAATTTAAACTAATTCATTTTTTCCTTTAAGAAATTAACAAGGCCTACAAGGAATTTCCCCTTTGCATACCCCAACCCGTGATGGTTTTAAGTTTTCCTCTGTTAATCTTGAGAAGAGTTTCTGTAACACTATAATTAGGACTTGCTCCTACACAGCAACCATTCCCTGCTCATTGTGAGCAAAATTAAACACCCCTCCAGACAATGTCATTATCGTGGTTAAGTTCTGAGTTTGGCAAGGGCATAAAAACATTTGAAGAATCCACTTCTACATCACATCCCCCCTTACTCCCACCCAGTACTTACACACTTCCAACATTCTTGCAGAAACTGTCAGACCAAGCTCATTCCTCCTGGTATGGAAAACCTCAGAGACTTGAAGACGGGGATATGATGAACATTCTGTTTGCCAGTTGTTTATTTGATGAACACAGGAATATACCGGATGCTCCAGAGTCTCAGCACGATTTCTTCTCCACCCTAAACTCCCTCTTTCAGAGTAGCCCTTGGAGATGCCCTTCCTAAGCTCTCATTAAGTCCATCTGTGAATTTAGCTAAGTCTGCCTTGAACTTGTCTACTATTTCAGCTTGCATAAACTCTCAGGGAGGGAATCCCACACGGAGACTGCCTGCTGTACAACGGCTTGCTTTGATTTATTCTAAACACAACCTCCTCCAGACTTCGAAAGGGCACCTGTTTTACCAGGAGGCCTCATGCTGTCTTCTGTCTTTCCTTCTTGAGATTATTCAGAGATTAAAAAGTGGCTTTTATAATTTTTATATTGATTATCTTGGGCCCTATTAAAACAAGGAGGTTTCCTGATATTGGCTGGAAAACAGGGTTAAATAAGCTCTGTGCTAGATAAAAATGTTCCCTGCCTTCACTTATTGCTTCTGAAAGCTACAAGCATGAGAGACAGAAGCCTCAAGTTATATATACAGAGGCGTGTGCAGCAGCAAGGCAGAATTTCAACTGGAGAGGAAGCTCTTGGTTAAAAATGAATGCTGCTTATTCAGATTCCCCTCTGGTAGCACACCTTACAGAGAGAGAGAAATGGTGCTTATTAGCTATTTGAAGCTAGAATTCCAGGGCTTTCTTCTCTGCCAAACTCAAAGCTAAACACTTTTGTATTGTTTTTGCCCTCATCTTGCTGAGAATGTCGCACCCTTCGATAGGATTATTTATCTTTTTAAATCAAGTGATCACTTATTCCATGCAATGGTTAAAATTCAAGAAAGCCACCCTAGCTCATGGGCCTTGTTCAGGGTGGCCAGACAGGACTCTCCCTTCCTGAGTTCTAGTACTTTCATCTGGCTGTGCAGTTCCTCCAAGTCCTGTCGTCTTTGCCTAGCTGAGGATACAAGGCTTCTTGTGTCCTTGTTCTGGGGATGGTTCTTACCTCCGGCTCCCCGCAGTCACACTGCTCTCCTTCTTCCACAAATCCGTTCCCACACTTCTGGCCCCCGAAAGACTCCCTGACTTCCGGCAGGTTAAAGAGGCACATCCCCATTCCTTTCTCCAGGCTGGTCTCCAAGTCCTTCCTGCTGCAACTGCTGAACACCATGGGAAATGGGTACCTGAGAAAGGAGAGCCCAGAACAGTAAGTCGCAGGGCACGGAACGGCTTTGCCTGCCCTTCTTGTGCCGACAAGAAGGCACCCACTGGCCACATCCACCCAGGTGTTCACTAGTGGTCTCAATGAACAATGCATATCAACAAACTCAGATATGCAGTGTAAAGCGAGGCACATTCAGTTCTATCCCGACATCCATTCCTGTACAGTGCCAGCGTGACTGATGAAGAAGGGCTTTATCAAAAAAGAAATGATCATTTGATGGTTTTCAAATCAACAAGTTCAGGCAGAGTCTCATGAAAGACATTATTAATAGTTCTGGGTGAAATGACGCAATGAAGAGAGAATTCTTAGGGGTTGTAGCTTGTAATACAAACATATAACAATGTCCTTGTTGGAAAGTGCAAAGAAGGAAAGAGTATGAATGATGGTGTTTATTAATTCCATGCTTCCAAGGACACATGGGTCCACTGTAGGGCAGGGCCTGCTGATATTGGCATTCGGGTCTACAAAGGTCAAATCACTGTCTTCCCCCAGCACAGTTGTAAGAGAATGGAGGTGATCCAGAAATGCAGATCTTACCCTTGCCTCTAAATTCCAGGGTTACAACCGGGTGTGGCAGGGTCAGCCAACTCCCCAGCAAAGTTATGCTCCTCTTCTGTGCTCTAGAAGGGCTGCCCAGCCCCCATGTACCTGGGTGGGCTGCATGACTAATTCTTGGCACTAGAACATGAGCAAAAGTGATATAGGTCACTTTTGGCTGATGGTATTTAAACGAGTATTACTTCTTCATATCCTTTCTTTCCCCATCTGCCAGCTGAGATTAGGGTATCCCACGGTTTTAGGAGATGGAGGAGTCAGGCATGGCATCTGGTCCTAACTCATTGTATGGAGGGAAGCCACCTGCAGCCTACAGCCTCAGGGCCTCATCCAGACGGAAAACACGCTAATATGGCAACCCACTGAGCATTTGGGGTTTGATTCCCAAAGCAGCCAGTGTTATCCAACATACACAGAGTGTCTCACGTTTTACAAATGCATTTTCCCATGTCTTGAGGCAGCAAGGATTATTAAGGTATAAGCATGCCAGAAACCCAGAAAGTTTTATTACTTAGAGAGGGAGCAGGGACTGCTGTCCAGCAAACCCAGGCACCCTCTCCCGACGGAGACATTTATAAGGATGACATTAGAACTGGATCTCAATCAATTGGCCAAACCAACGCAAGCTGCTACGCTTCCCTAATGATGGTAGACCAGCGGCCACTCAATGACAGAGCTTGGCAAATTCTGAGATCATGATTTCCAGGACCGAACTGATAACACTGCACCATCCTCTCCGAGTGGTTTCCCTTTTCTTCCCCGAGTATATAAGGCACGCTATTAGCCACAGAGTTTTAATGACCAGGTATTTATTTTTTCTTTATTTTCTGAGACTGACTGTCACTCTGTTACCCATGCTGGAGTGCAGTGGCTCACTGCAACCTCCACCTCCTGGGTGCAAGTAATTCGCCTGCCTCAGCCTCTCAAGTAGGTGGGATTACAGGCGCCCACCACCACGCCTGGCTAATTTTTTGTATTTTTAGTAGAGATGGGGTTTCACCATGTTGGCCAGGCTGGCCTCAAACTCCTGAGCTCAGGTGATCCGCCTGCCTCGGCCTCCCAAAGTGCTGGGATTACAGGCATGAGCCACCACGCCCGGCCCTTCACTTTTAAACTTTAATTGTAGGTTCAGGGGTACATGGGCAGGTTTGTTATGCAGGTAGACTGCATGGTAACGCGGTTTGGTGTACAGGTTATTTCATCACCCAGGCAATAAGCATAGTTCTCCCCAGGGAGTTTTCTGTTATTCTCCTTCCCCGTTGTCTGTGATTCCCTTCTTTGTGTCCATATGTACTCAGTGTTTAGCTCTCACTTATAAATGAGAACATGTAGTATTTGGTTTTCTGTTGCTGCATTAGTTTTCCCTCCAAGTGGTTTCTATCAACCTCGGGCTATTAACTCTGGAGTATATTAATAATCCTAATATAAATAAATTAATAAATGAAAGTGCTCCTCTGTGGATGCAAACGCAACATACCAGGACTTACTCATAGTGCTGTAACAATCTTGAAATCTTTGTGACTTCCCCTGGCAGACAGACTGGTTATTCCTGATATCAAAATGATACTGACTAGGTTCAAACAATGATCCACAAGGAAAATGATAATGTGTTTGCAATGTAGAAGGGTATTATGTTGAAGTAACTGGTACATTACACAGGGACTTAAGAGCAGTTCTTCTCTTTGCAAAAAAATAAATAAATACATTTCATGCAGGTACAGATGAAAACTTCTGTATTTGAGAGTTTTCCTAGGATGTATATGTCTCCAGGCCTGATCGAGGAGATGAAACATCATTCTCAGTCAATGATGTGCAACTTAGTTCTGTGACAAACCATTATCAGTTCATTCTAGAAGGGAAGTGATTTCTAGAAAATATTAGAGTTAATTAGGAAAGACCCTAGGATAAATGGTAAGTCTCAGGAACGGTTTATAGCAAGAATCACAGCAATTAAGAGAAGCTTGGAAAAGAGTGGTCTGAATTGCCCTGTTTCCCAAAGGAGCAGAGAATGTCCATAGACCCCAGAGATTGGAGAGCCGAGACCAGCTCCGTTCACTAAGCTCAGACATGCCTTCCCCATCTCATTCCTTTCAAAGCAACAAACACACAAACATTGGGTTTTGGGTGGGTTTGCCATCCAAATAGGATGAATGAGAACAGTTTAAGTCCAGGATTTAAATCTCAGAATGTGTGGGAGAGGAGAACAGACCAGATCATCATTGGCAAAGATCATCATTGTCTTTTTGTGTCTGCATTGGGTGTTGTCTGTGTAGAGTGATCTGTGTAATAATATATTTCTACTTCCCTTAGCTTGTCCTTATTCTGCTGAAGGACACCCCCCAAATGTTAACAAAATTCTTTCTCATTCAGAATCATGCATACATAAATAGTCCTTATCCAATTCACAGGTGTTCATCCTTGCTCTGAGGAACAGCATCCTGGCATTACTTCCTCAGGGGTGCCTCTGTTTTAACAGGAAAGTAGCGATGTCTTCCTCAGATGTGAAATGAGGTCTTGATGAATTCACCGACACTGAACAGATCCTTTCTCAGGGCTCCTTTCCACATGGCCTGAGCTCAGCAGCATGCCGCCTGCCTTCCAGGTCAGGACAATCCAAACTTCCAGCAACTCCTGACCATGGGATGTGGCCTGAGCTCAGCAGCATGCCACCTGCCTTCCAGGTCAGGACAAATTCAACTTCCAGCAACTCCTGACCATGGCTGACAGCTCCAGTCACGAGTAGGTGTGAGTGGCTTCTCTTCACACCAACCTGGGGTTTTTCTGACTGGCTCAGGGGACCCAGCAAGGTGAATGGGGAGTCCAGCAGCCCTTCCACAAACATTCCTGCCATTTCCTCGGACTGGGTCAGCCAATATCGCTACCATGTCCTCTATGTAATAAAGAAAAAAATGCCTCATTTATTGTTCAAGAACTTACTTTTGATGACGAATGGTGATGAGGCCAAGGAGCATTTTCTACCTGTAGGATGTCATTCCTCATCCCATCCTTTCATGATTTCTCAGCAAGGAGGCAGGTGACTATTCACTCTAATACGATAGTTATGAACCCTATTTGGCCATTTAGAGAAAGTCAGGCTTTAGAGGAAGAAAATCAGAACAACATATCACACATCGTTCCATTATTCCCCAAGTATTTATTCAACACCGACTAGGTGCCAGGCATTGTTCTAGGCTTTGGGGATATGGGAATGAAGAAAACAAAAAAATCTCAGCCCTCATGGAGCTTGCATTCAGTGGGGCCAACAGATAATAGGCAAGCTAAGGGAACAGAACGAGTTAGAGTAGAATTAAGGAGAAAAAAATAAAAGAGCAAGGGAAGAGGGTGTGTATTGAACTTTTAGGGACAGTGGACCTCACCAGGAAACTTCACCAGGAAGAGGGTCATTTGAGCCCCTCACCCACAGGGAAGAAGGTGGGACTGCACCTGGGGAAAGAGCTAGTGCAAGTGTGCGCAGACGGACAGGACTGGCCTGGAGGAACTTACTCAACATTGGGAAACAGGCTCTTCTTGCAGACACACACTCAGAGAGGCAACCTCTTTTCTCCTTGGCATCATTCCTGTATAGGTCAAGGTCATGCTGATGGTGAGAAGATCCCATAGAGTGTCAGTATACAGGGAGCTGTGCCTCTGTATGGGCCAGGCACTGGGAATGACTGAAGGTATTTTTATTTAAATAATTTCAACTTTTATTAGCGATGACGGAGTACATGTACAAATTTGTTACATGGGTATATTTCATGATGCTGGGGTCTGGGGTCCTGTCACCCAGGTAGTGAGCATAGTACTCAATAGATGGTTTTTCAGCCCTTGCTCTCCTCTCATCCTCCCCCATCTAATAGTCCCCAGTGTCTGTTGTTCTCATCTTTACATCTATGTCTATTCAATGTTTAGTGCCCCCTTGTAAGTGAGAACACATGGTATTTGATTGCTATTCTTGCATTAATTTGATTAGGATAATGGCCTCCGGCTCTATCCATGTTGCTGCAAAGGATATAATTTCATTCTTTTGATGGCTATGTAGTATTCCATACCATGTTTTCTTTGTCCAATCCACTGTTGAAGGGCACCTAGGTTGATTCCATGTCTTCGCTATTGTGAATAGCACTATAATGAAAGTATGAGGGCATATGTCTTTTTGACAGAATGAGTTATTTTCTTTTGGATATATACACAGTAGTGGGGTTGCTGGGTCAAATGGGAGTTCTGTTTTAAGTTCTTCAAGAAATTGCCAAACTGCTTTCCACAGTGGCTGAACAAGTTTGCATTCCCACCAACAGTGTATAAACATTCGCTTTTCTCCATAGCATTGCCAGCATCTGTTATTTTTGACTTTTTAATAATCGCTATTCTCACTGATGTGAGATGGTATCTCAGTGTGGTTTT